TTGATGGAAATTCACAGAATTTCAAGGAAAAGTTAGACATTGACTGTACACCATTCTCTGGTGGGATCATGCGAATAAGGCAATAGCTGGAGGGTTTCTGAAGACAGAACACACACATACACACACACACACACACACACACACACACACACACACACACAGAGCGAGAGCGAGAGAAGGAGAGAGAGAGAATGAGAGAATTTGACCTGATCAAGTTGCCATTGAAAATGGGTGATGCAGGAGGGGAAATAATCCCTGTAATGAGGCTGCATCTTGAACTTGTTCTCCACTTCATCATTCTCACCAGCACTCAAGCCCACTGTGGACTCCCCCATAACAAAATCCTCCCAGGAAATCTGTATTTTTCTCCAGCCCTGTTTCTTCAATCTCTCCCACACCCAAACTGGCTGAAATCATTGACCACAAAGCCAGTCTCCACTTTGAAGTCTTCCATGGACTCTGTGACCCCGTCCATCTTTTCTCTCCACCACTCCACTGCACCTGCTCCTGTCAAAGTACCCAAGGCATCCATGTCCCCAGCCCCAACACACAGTTCTCAGTAAGCATGTTAACACACTAAGGCCTCCCAGAAGTGTCATCCAATTGCTGGGCCAAGCTTGGGAGTCACTGGTGACTCTCCTCTTCCTCTCTTCCTGAATAACCCATCCAGAAACATCACATCAAGTGCATTCTGCTTCGAACGTGTCTTACTTCCACCGCTGAGTTTGTGTCTTCATCATTTGTCACTAGGATTTCTCCAGCCTTTTTTAGGTTGATCTCCGCAATCCCAGGATTTCTCTGAGCATTTTTAAATTGATCTCCCCAATTCCACTCTAGTTCCTCACTCCCACCCTACTGCCATCTCTTCTTATGGCAGCCAAAATGGTCATTTAAAAATCTCACTGCCATTTAAAAGCCACTGCATGTGGACCATCGCAGCAACAGGATAGGGAAGAAAAACCGCACAATCACATCAATAGATGCAGACAAAGCATTTGACAAAATCCAACACCCATTCATGATTTAAAACCCAAACACCTTCAGCCAACTATGATTAGAGGGTAACTTCTTCAGTTTGATAAGGGACACCTACAAAAACCCTAGAGCTCACAGCATACTAAACAGAAACTAGAAGCTTTTTCCCCGAAGATCAGGAAGAAGGTGGGGCTCCCCCTCTCACCACTGTTTCTCACTGTCACATTAGAAGTCCTGGCCAATGCAATGAGACAAGAAAAGGAAACAAGGTATACAGATTGGGAAGGGAGAAATAAAAGTTTTGTCTGAAATGACACGATCGTCTATGAAGAAAATCTCTGCCCTGCTCAAAATCCTACATCATAATTCATTGTATAGAGGATGCAAATCAAAGCCCTTAAAATGTCCTGAATGACCCTTGAGTTTTTCTCCAGTCATGATCATGTTGTCCTTCTTTTCTCCCTCAGTTTCAATTATTCTGACTGTTCAGTTCAAGGAAAATGTGGCCAGGCATGGTGGCTGTTCAGTTCAAGGAAAATGTGGCCAGGCATGGTGGCTCATGCCTGTCATCCTAGCACTTTGGGAGGCGGAGGCAGGTGGCGGATCATTTAAGCCCAGGAGTTGGAGACCAGTCTGGGCAACATAACAAGCCCCCGTGTCTACTAAAAATACTAAAAGTTAGCCAGGCATGGTGGTGCACACCTGTAGTCTCAGCTACTCAGAAGGCTGAGGTAGGAGAATCACCTGAGTCAGGGAAGTTGAGGCTGCAGTGAGCCATGACAGCACCACTGTACTCCAGCCTGGATAACAGGAGTGAGACCCTGTCTTGGAAAAAAAAAAGGGGGGGGGGGCCAGGCACAGTGGCTCACACCTGTACTTTGGGAGGCCAAGGTGGGTGGATCACAAGGTCAGGAGATTGAGACAATCCTGGCCAACATGGTGAAACCCCATCTCTACTAAAAATACAAAAAAAAAAAAAAAAATTTGCTGGGGGTCGTGGTGTATACCTGTAATCCAGTTACTCAGGAAGGTGAGGCAGGAGAATCACTTGAACCCAGGAAGTGGAGGTTTCAGTGAGCTGAGATTGTGCCACTGCACTCCAGCCTGGTGACAGAGTGAGACTCCATCTTAAAAAAAAAAAAAAAAAAAAAAAAGCACCAAGTCCTTCTATCTCCCCAGGTCTTCAGGCCTGCACTTATCTCCCTAAATCCTGTTCCCAGGGCCATGGCAGAGGCTACCTCTGACGCCACCCTCACTGTGCTCTCAGGTTCCGGTGCACTTCCCTGCTGGTTGGCCTCTGGACTTTCTTTGAAGCTTTGGGAGGTGCTCAGCTGGGGGAGTAGGTGTATGGGTGAGGAGCAGTCCTCAGTCACTGGTACCTAGAAGCTGAAAAGCTGTCCAGCCCTTCCTATGCTGACGTGCACTCCAAGCTGCTCCTCTTAGAGCACCCCCAGCAGGGTGGGGCCCCAGTGCCGACAGGAGCAGCCTAGTGTCACCGCAGCCTCCAGGACGTCCCCTCCTGCCCTGCCTCTCTCTCCCTACTTCCTCTAGTTTCCTGGGATCAATCTCCAAAATGAACTACCTGCACCCAAATCCACATCTCAAAACCTGCTTATGGGAGAACCCAGGGGAAGATTTAATAACGACGTCCTCAAAAAGTTCTTTCCTGATGTCACAAACCATATTCGTTGCCGTTTTCACATTCACCAATAACACTCCATATGTTTCCTTCAGAGAAGTAATTATAACTTGTAATTGTTCCTTGAGTAACTTCTGGGTGGACCCCTCTCTAGACAGAAGGCTTCGTGGGGCCGGTGACCGTGGCTTTCTGTACTGCTCACACACTAGGAACACAGGAGAGGCCGTCAGTACATCTGTGTGATTTTCTTGTTGCTGTTGCATGAAAGAATAGATTCTTTAAAAAAAATGTGAAGGGATGGGGACGAAATGCCGGGGAGGAAAGCAAAGGGAAAGTAAATTGTGAAATGAAAATAAATTGACCTGGAAATCTCTCCCCGGTTGAGGTTTGGGCTCTGAATCCAGTGGAGACCAGTGATAGATTCGGGAAACATTTAGGAGAAATGGACAGCAGCTGTACTTCTTTCTTCCATTCACCTTGCTACCCCCTCATCGTTTAGCACTCTGCCTTGAAAATAAACTGCAAGTGATGAATATTTGGGTGATCAACTATACGGGAAATTCTTACAGAGCCTGGTTTAAAGATCTTGGAATTTCTGGAAAAGATGGGTTTGTCCATTCCAAATATTTTGGATGACCTGATTTCATTCTAACTCCCATCGGTCTTTCTATGCGGTTTGTTTTCGCATCTTTTATCTCATTTAAATGCCATAGCCACGCAGGTGGAAAGCACAAATCCATTTCTGCATTTATGTTAAACTGGGACTGCGAGACTTGCCCAGGGTCGGTGACCGCCCGGGGACCCCCATGCCAGCGCGTCTCGCTCCCGCGTTCCGCTCCTGGAAGGGCAAACCCATGACCCTGGCGAGGGTCCGTCCACACGTGGCCAGGGTGGCTGATCTTCCCGGCTGCTGTGGTTGTCAACACCACTTCTCCGGGTCGATTTTCCCTTTTCCTGGGCTCTGTCGTCCATACGCCGCTCACAGCACACCCAGGCGGCGAGCCCCCTCCAAGGGCGCTCCCTGCGTCCTGACCCAGGTTCTCGGGGCGCCCCCAGTGGGTCCCCGTGAAGCCGCCGCCGCACACCCACCTCAGCGGAGCCCGCCTGTGGGAACCGGGGGAGGTTCCGCCTCCAGCACCCACGCGGCGGCCGCACCTCGCAGTGAGATCCTCGCAAGCGCCGGCGCCTCCCTCGCCCCGCGTCCCCTCTGCCCCGCAAGCCCCACTGGGAGCCGAGCCGACTCGAACCCGAGCGCGAGTCCCTTGCACAAAACGCCGGCGCATCCCTAACCGCGGTCCGGAAAGGCTGACCCTGCCCGGGGGCGACGGGTGTGACCGGGTCCCTCGCTAACTTTCGGGCGCGGTGAGCGTCGCCCGCGCGCGCCGCGGTGGAGGCCGCTGCTTTCCCGCCGGGAGCCCCGCGCCGTCCCCAGGTGACCCGCGCGCCCCGCGCAACAGTTGGGGCCGGGCTGTCCGCGCGCTTCGCGAGCCGGGCCCTTCCCCAGATGCAGCCGCGCGCCGGCCGCCCCCCAGTGCGCCGGTGCCTCCCCGGGCGCCGAGTGCGCAGGCGCCGGCCGTGAGGACCGACCGTGCGCCGGGCTCGAGCGCTGTCTGAGCGCGCGGCGGCGGCGGCGGACGGACAGACGGACCGCAGACGGACGCACGGACCCCGACCCGCGAGCCCCGGGAGCCGCCGGCCTGAGGAGGGGCCTTCGCCATGTCGCCCCGCACCTGCTGAGCTCGGAGCGTCCGAGGATGTCCGCGCTGAGGAAGGTGCGAGCCACCGAGGGCCGCAGGGAGCTGGGCGCGAGGAACAGGGCGCGGGGCTGCGAGAGCCGTCGAGGCGGGGAGGGGGCGGCGTGTCGGAACTGCGGGGACGCAGCGAGGGCGTCAAGGTTGGGGGCGGGGGCGAGCGGGGGGTCGTGCCGCCCGCCGGGGCCGGAGCGCCGGCGACCCCAGGGACAGCCTGTGCTCGGGGGTCGCGCGTTGCGCTCCTCGCCGGGCTCCGCGCATCTCTGGCCGCGCTCGGGGGGTGCCGGGACCCTGGGCTCCGGGGTGCGGGAGCCCACGGGGCCGCGGAGGTGTGAAATTCTCCGTTCGTGGAGGGGGCACAGCCTGGGGGGCGCCGGCGGGCCAGGGGCTACGCGCCTACCTCCGGTGGGACAGCTGCGAGCGAGTGGGGGCGGCGGGCAGCAGACTGCATCCGCCTCCCCCCAAGCCCGGGTGGAAACGCCGACGGGGACCGGGAATGAATGAAGGGTGTCGGGCTGGGCTGCGCGCGCGGGGGCTCGCGGGGGCGGGGGCGGCCAGGAGGGGCCCCTTGTTCCGGGCGGCCGCGGCTGCCTAGACCAGGCGGGGTGGAGGGTGCGCGCAGCGAGGGGGTGGCCGCCGCCCGGCTCTCCAAGTGCGAGCGAGGAGCACGGGGGCTTTTTTAGGGGTGGTTGCTAAGCGAGGCGCTACCCAGCGCAGGGTTTTGTAACTAAGCCTCCCCCGGCAGCGGCTGTTGCTGTTCTCCGGCTCCTTCGCTAACGATTGCAGGAGAAATAATGAGGATGTAATTATTACAGCCCTGCGCGGAGGGCTGGGAGGCGGCGGGCGCGGGCTCCTCTGCCTGCGCGCCCAGGTGGGGCTGGGCTGGGCTGGGCTGGGCTGGGCTGGGTTGGACTGGACTGGACACCTCTCCCCGCCCGGCCCTCCCTCCGCGCGCGGCGTGTGTGGTGCCGGAGGCTTCGGAGCAGGCTGGACCTGGGAACCCGGGGAGGGGCCTCGGGGAAAGATAGTTGGGCGAGGTAGGCGCTGGCGAGAAGGCGGAGCCCCGGGACAGCGGAGGTTCTCAGGTGCAGAGCGGGCGCGGGGGCGAGGGCGCGCGGCGGGTCTGCGATGCGTGTCGGAAACTCGCGGCCCCCGGTCCGGGCCCTGCGCGCTTGGAGCCCGGGTCCTTCCCGCCCCTGCGCGACGCCGCCGCCGCCGCCGCTGGTGAATGGCGATCCCGGCCACGGCTTGGAATTGGGAATTCGTGACTTATTGGCGGCGCCGGTCTTGTATCGATTAAAGATAAAGCGATCAGCAGTGAATTTATCCTTCGTGTGGATGAACTCGGCCAGCCCGGGCTGTGGGGGGTTTGGGAGCTGGAAATATCCTCCAAAGCGTCGCCGCTTCTCCCATCATCCCGGACTCGAGGCTGGAGGCAGCTCCGGTGACGCGAAGGCGAGGACCCCCGGGCGGGGTCGGGCCGGGGGCGCCCCGGACAGAGACCCGGTCCCAGCGCCTGAGACCCGGTCCCAGCGCCTGGCGGAGCCCGGCGATCCGCGCTGTCAGGAGGACTCATCAACAGCCGGTGAATTAATTGTGTTTGCAGTTGGGAAATAACCCAGCACCTCGGCGTAGCCCGAGGAAGTCCAGGAGGCTCTCCAAGGACCCTTCCCCCAGGTCGCGAAGCTGCGCTAAACCCCGGCCCCAGCACACCTTGGAAAGCACATTTTGGCCTGAGATGAACGCACCTTACACCATTTTCATTTTACTTCCTTTTCTCTGAGAAAGGTAATAGATAACCAAGGCCAAAAATGGCGAAATGGTGAAAAAATGGTAATTCTTGGCAGGTCAAGTTGTTACTCTGGGTTTAAAAAAATGTCATTAATCAGGATTTTCCAGTAGCCAAATTGTCTTGTGCCGGCAGCTGGGTGACTCACAGATTTGGCTCCAATAGTAATTGTAGAGTGTGCGTACCATTTCCTTCTGGATGGCGTGACTTTTTCATTGCTTGGAAGAGAACACATTAGAATATTTTATCCCCTACATCTGGCAGCTTGGGGAGCAGGCTGTAGGCAATATTCTGTCCAAGCACAATCTGGGCGGGGAGGACGCAGAGGGACAGAGGTGACACAGAGCTGGCCCTGTCCTGGGTTCTGTCTCGGGTCACCTGAGGCATCTTCACCGCGGCAGCTCAGGGGCGTGGGGTCTGCTCTCAGTGATGACCTGGGGCGCGTCCTGCCTCTGTGCGCCATTCCTGCCTCTTCACTGTCACTCCTTGGTGATCGCCCCTGTTCTTGGGTAAAAGTGGAGAGGTGCGGAAGGGCTTCCTCTGTTGATCTACCACGTCAAATCTGTATGTTGTATTTTCAGGTTAAAGGGTAAGCGTTGTAAGCAAAATGAGTACTATGTCAAATAATTCAAAGGAATGAAGTAATTAAAAGTAAAGTTTTCTCAACACAGAGATGTTTTCTCAGATAAGCATTCTAAGTCAACTTTTCATAGTATTCAGTGTGTATTTGTTATCCTTCGAAAGAACTTTGCACTTACGATAGTCCGAAGTGGTATAGCTTGAGACAGAAATAAACATGTATTTATTTACCAACTTTTTGTATGCTTTTTGTTACTTGTGATTTAAATGGGTTAGTTCGATTTTTATTTTTATAGAATTCAGATCACATGACATTATTTCTCCCCAGTGACGTACATGCCCTTCTGTGGCAATCTATTGCTTCTCTTATTTTTGTCTACTTATTTCAGTTTTGAAATTGGTAGAAATTCCAAATTAAATATAAAAGCAAAAATAGGCTTCATGGAATTTAAATTACATTGGATTCTGTGTACCCGGAACTCAACTAATTCTGAAACTAAAGTGCTCTAATATCTTTTTAAGGGTGAGAGGATTTTGTTTTGTTTTGTTTTGTTTTGTTTTGAAGACATTATCTTCCATGATGTTAAAATTGAAGGAATGCTATAAATTTTTTATTATGTAGCCGTATTTGAGGAAAAGCTTCATGACTCCTCAGTTATCCAAGGAATTGAATGATATATACTTTGATTATAGATTTTAAAATGAAGTTAATTAAATATTCTATTTATTGACCCTCAGGACAGATGCTCCATGGTCATTCATTGGATACAATAAAAATAACTATGATTCATCATTTTGGCCAGATGGGAGTCATATTTAGAGCATTGCCAGCATGTTGGTTATAAAAGAATTATAGGCTACCATACAGGAAGTTAGTGGGCACACTTTCTATGCAGTTGAAAATTATTCTTAATCAACTGTAGTTTTATCAAGTAGTTTTCATCACACGAGGCTTCCTAGTACCACCAGCTTCTTAAATATGTTTTGTTGTTTCCTAGGTAGCTGTGTGCACAAAACTGAGCATGGTGATTTCATGTGTGTTCATGACAAAAGACTTTGATTTCTAGGGAAGCTAAGCAGATGGGCTTTGGCGTTGACCAGGCATGGGGTCGTAGGGTGTGCAAACTCCAGTTTAAATCCTGCATCTGTTGGTAGCCACCTTTCCCCTCCAGGGCTTAATAGCAGAAACAAATTAATCTCCTCAGCAAAGGCAGTAGAAGCTCATCTGTAAACCTCTGTTTTTCTTTTCTCATGTCATTCTTCTGTGCACTGACTTCATCTGCCTATGAAAATCTTCTCCCAATCCTCAGGTCATGGGCCTTGCTTGACCCGCAGTCCCTTAACTTCAGCTCCAGGAGAGGTGCCTGGCTGTTCTGGCATCCCCGTGATGGGTGTCTGCTGCAGCTGCTTTAAGGCGTGTACCTCTCCTGACTTGCTGGCAGTGTCTTCATGTGGGATGTTAGTTGCCTTAGTTCTGGAACTGTCCTGTCTGTATTTATTGGTGGGCCTTCAGGAGTTGAGCTTTCTAGACCTGTTACTGCAGACTCTGGTGTATTCGCAGTTCAGCGTAGGCTTGCCTTTCCAGGCAGCAGCAAGCTCCTCTTGGAGAACACCTGCCCCCTCATGGGGTTGGCTTGGTGGATCCCTCTTCCCGGCAGAGGTGGCTCCTGACTGGTCGGAGCCCTACTCCCTCTCAAGAGCACCTGGATCAGTGAAGAGTGGCAACTTTCTAGGAAGGGAAAGCTTTAGGAAAAACGGCGGGAAAGGTGTAATGCCTGGAGCTGTGGCATCAGTGCACAGTCTTTCGGGGATGGCCTGTCTGGAAAGGACACCTTCATCATCTGTCTGTGGAGGAGAAGGGCGGCCGTTATGCAGAGAGCTGGTCCTGAGGACGCTGTTGGAAGCTGTGAACTAAGTTATACCTGAACCATCATTACCCCGTGATTTTCAGTTACATAAACCAGGATATTCTTGCTTTGAATTGACTTTTCTGTCCCTGACAAGCAAGTGGGATGTTTGGGTTTTTAGTTTCTCCAAACATTTCCATGTTAAAGCTCTTGTTGCAAGGAAAGGCTTGTTCATCTTCAGGTACTGTTTTTTATATGGTACATTGTGTGTATCGGCAGGAAAAGAAGAAAAATATTTAAATAAACCATTTTAAACAATGAATAAACATTTGGAACCAGCCCATCTGTAAACTTGTGTTAAAAATTTTCAAAGTAACCTGCGAATCTGACTGATCATTGTCTTTAAAATGTTTCACACTCTGCACAAAAGAAGAAAAATGGAAATGATACCCAAGGGTCCATAGAGTATGTATTTTAAGTTAGGCTGTATTAAAAAATATCCTCCTGTGTGTAATGAATGTTTGTCCTGTGATTTTTGCACAGCATTGCAAGTGGCTTTCTAGAGACAGGGTATCCCTCTGTCATCCACGTGGGAGTTCTGTGGCATGCTTGTAGCTAACTGCAGTCTTGACCTCCTGGGCACAAGTGATCCTCCCACCTCAGCCTCTCTAGTAGTTGGTGTATGCCACCACACCCAACTAATTTTTACTTTTTTTTTTGTAGAGAAGGAAGTCTTGCAGTGTTGCCCAGGCTGGTCTTGGATTCCTGGCCTTAAGGAATCCTCCTGCCCTGACTTCCCCAAGTGCCGGGATTAAAGGAGTGAGTCACTTTTCCCGGCTGCATTTGGCCCTTTATTTGACCTCACCATATTTTAGTTTTCTCATCACTAAGAGTGGGGTTAATGCAATATTAACTTGATAGGGTTTAGGAGGATTAAATGAATTAATGACTGTAAAGTGATAAAAATGGTGCACGTAGTAAATGCTGGATTAGTCTTGACTATTTTTATCATGAAAAAATATAATTGAGGCCTACTTTGAGCCAATCCACAATGGAAATTAGCAAGCCACTCTTTGATTTCTCCCAAAACTCTTTTACTTATTATTTCTGGTCTTCTTTTACTTGTTTGTATATCTCTTGCCACTTTTCAAAAAGTTTTTGACCGAACTTAACCACAAAAGGACAAGGGCAAAAAAGTTAATTAGAAAATAGAAGTAGAAAATTAGAGGAAACAAACGTGATAACATGAGGATGAATGTAATTCTTCAGCATCACATTTGACACTGAGCTTCCAGGGAGTCAAGTCAACAAAAACCCAAAACCGCAAAGCCATGTTCGACCTCACTTGATCGTGCTATCAGGGTGGACACTGCATACTCATTTTTTGGTGAAGATGAATTTTCTCTGGCACTAACTTGTAAGAGATGTTCTGAGGGTAGATCTTATATTCAGGGGCTGGGATTGTATAACATATAACAGTTACAAATACAGAAGTTTTTTTTTTTTTTTGAGACGGAGTCTCGCTCTGTTGCCCAGGCTGGAGTGCAGTGGCCGGATCTCAGCTCACTGCAAGCTCCACCTCCCAGGTTTACGCCATTCTCCTGCCTCAGCCTCCGGAGTAGCTGGGACTACAGGTGTCTGCCACCTTGCCCGGCTAGTTTTTTGTATTTTTTTTTTAGTAGAGACGGTTTCACCGTGTTCACCAGGATGGTCTCGATCTCCTGACCTCGTGATCCGCCCGTCTCGGCCTCCCAAAGTGCTGGGATTACAGGCTTGAGCCACTGCACCTGGCCACAGAAGTATTTTTTAATTATTGTGTCTTGATTTGGTTTCTTTGAAATAAACCAGAAAAACTCACATGCACAGCCTACACTCAGCACTGATGATCTCTTCTTGGTATTTATTTACTTATTTATTTAGAGATGGTCTCAGTCCTGTCTGTTGGTTTGGAGTGGCATAATCACAGCTCACTGCAGCCTCGACCTCCTGGGCTCAAGCGATCCTCCCACCTCAGCCTCCCAAGTAGCTGGGACTACAGGCATGCGCCACCACACCCAGCTAATTTTTTTTTTTTATTTTTAGTAGAGATGGTGTTTCACCATGTTGCCCAGGCTAGACTGTGACTCCTGTGCTCTAGCCATTGGCCTACCTCAGCCTCCCAAAATGTTGCAATTATGGGCGTGAGCCACTGCGCCAGGCCTTTTGCTGGTATTTGCACGTGATTTCCGTGGCCAGGTCTTCGTGTCTGCATCACTCACTAAGCTACTGTGGTTTAGGGCTGAAGAGACGTGGATTCATGTTGTGTGTCCTGCAGACAACAGCAATTTCTCAAGTTTCATGTGCCTTCACATTTCATCTGAGTCTTTGCATGTAGACGCCCAGAACCCTGTTTTAGCTGAAGGTAAGTGTTGTTCTGGTGGCTGTGGCAGTCTGTGGATGGAGCCGTCATAATGGTTCTCTCAGACCCATCGCCACTTCCCTCTTCTCTCTCTTGTCTTGCGCTTTGGGAAGAAGTGCTCATTCGCTCAGCAAGCTTAGAGGCAGCATCTTCTCTCCGCACATCCTCCCTGACCCACGAGATTGGGTTGGGCAGGTTTTTCTGTGCTCTGACTGTTAGGGTGATGCCTCTCACCACCTTGTAATTCCTACTTTCCTTGTCTTTGATGTTTTGGGATAGCCACTCTGTGAGAAGGGTCTTGATCACCCTTGAACCCTGGCCCCCGGTCTCATCTAGTGATCTGAATGGGTGAAGGTGCAGCAGAGGGGCTGACGCCTCCTCGAGGTACAGATTCCCCAGCCCGACCTGCATCCCTCCCTCTTCTCCGGCCACGTCACCCTCCCGGGGTGCTGGCTGTCTGCTCCCCACGGTCACTCTCTGTTCCCTGCCTGGGCTGTGCCCTAGCAAGACTCTGGCTTCACCCACACTCGACAGTGCTTTTCATTCCGCCTTTTCCTCATGTATTTTCTCTCGAACCTAGTTGGAGTGCTGCTTCCCCGGCCCCAATGCCTGAGTGAGGTCATGCTCCCAGCCTCCGAATTCCTCGCTGGGGCTGGGTCCCAGCCTCCACCTCCCCCAGTCTGTCCACATGCTGTCCTCAGTGCAGCAGAGATGGCAGGAAGGGGTGGCCCAGGCCATCTCTACACCTGCTGCAGGGTTTTAGGCCATGTCACTGGATAAACAGTTGCATGACCTCGTAAATACACACAGTTGACGCCTCGTTACACCGCCGTCCCTTCTCCACGTTTCAGCAGCTGCTTCCGAGTTGCAGGTGCTGGAGACAAGCACAGCAGCAGGTTCTTTACCTTTTTTCTTGGTCTTTAATATGAAACCTTTAGCTCTTTAAAAATAATTTCCATTGTGTAACATTCTTCGTAATATTTTGACAT